ACAACACAAAATAAATAAACCATGATTCTCTCCTGCCCGGTGAAAAACAATCTGTTAGATTAATAAAGAATATCGATATGAATAGGAGTACCGATAAATATTGGCATCTATAAAACCCTAAATGAATCCCATAATGAAATACAGGTTTCTCAGTAACACCATTTTGACATGTATGAGCAAACAATGGCAGTAAACATTTGCAGAGTGCTATGATGAGAACCTGCAAAATTAGTGTAGGGTAAACTGTGCAAATCTGAAAGTGATGGGCCCAAACACATCAATGTCTCAATAGGTAAATGCTTTCAGTGGAAAGTACCTAGTTGTATGGATCCAGTGATTTGAGTACACAGCCTCTCTCTCTAATACACACTGGGATTCTCCGTTAGATAGAAAAGCTGGGCTGAATGGGCCATCGGTAAAGTTTTCAAATGCTGCTGAATACACACAGGGTCCCAAGGAAGAAAAAAAAAGCTGACCTGGGCAAGTTATGCTTTTTTTTTTTTTTTAAACTAGTAAACAAGTACCAATAGCTGCATTTCTTTCTTACAAATTTACTGTACAAGTGCACACTGACAGTGGAAAAAGAGCACTTATTTATCAAGTTAGGAAAGAAACTACATACAATTTACATGTGTGCACAGGCTCTTTTGATGTGTTCCAGTAGCTGATACTTTCACACATCCTCTACAGACACAGCTTTATAATCCAACTCTGGCTATACTGCAGACACTGGTGCAATAACTCAGGCATACATACTTTTAGTTTCTAGCATATTCTGCTGACAAAAAATTCATGTAGTCTGCTAGTACTGAGGTTAAAAGGGGCTCTTTGCTTTTGAGCCATGCTTGGCCTTCTGACCTGAGATAATTTTAGAATTATGGCTAGGTGATATATTAAATATTTAAGATTATTCACAAACAGTTATGCAGTAACACAACCAAAGCTCTTCTGATAATTATGTTTCTAATCAAAATTACCTGGTGAAAATCCTTGCCACTGCTTTTACCATCACCACTGAAATCCACATGGGAGAAGAGACAGCGTAGTAGATGCCTGTCAGCCTCGGGTCCGTGATGATTTACAATCTTTAATAGCACAGGGAAAATTCCAAAACATGAACATTTTAAGTCAATTCAAAGAAGCACTGTAAGATCTCTATTGACTGATATTTATAAAAATGTAAATAAATCAATGTGATGTCTTTGCTAGGACTTACATGCTGTATTTCTTGCTGGCTGGCTCTGTAGTTTTTCTTTGTTAAATTGTCCACCAGATAGCTGATTTGAGACAAAGCCAGCGAGAGCGAGTCAAGATTCATTGCTGGTTGGGGCGGAAGCAGGCGGCCGAGCGCGGCGCAAAATCACCATTATTCCCCTTTAGTCACTTCAGTGATAGATTACTTCTGCTCCCCCCCCCCAAAAGGTGTGAAAAATGTTGCCTTCCAAATAAGTTTTCTATTAAGTAGGCCGCTGGTGCTATGTAGAGTCCTTCAGTTTAAAATCAAGTTCAGCATCTGTAACGAAAGGACAAGTAAAGTTAAGTCATTTCAAAAAACAAGGATTTATGATAGAAAAAAAAAAGTTTGTAAACTGCAGTTAACTTTGCACTACTGTAATCGTACTTTCATCAAATACATTATTTACAGCACAACATATGTTGCTATAGACTTTGAGGCCTACGTGCATCACAGACCCGGAGGTGCAGTGAAACATTTTAATATCTGCCGCGGGGGCATTTATCTGCTAGTAAAAGTCCAAACTATGCTCAGCAAGAGTTAAAGCTTCGTGGGTTAATATGCCATCTTCACGAAGATACTGCGGTTACGTAAACCTGTCCCAGCAGCATGTAATACACCACGACTGTACCCCAATATCATTCATAGTAAATTCGCTCACCTAACAAACTAACCACCTTCTCAACAGCACTAACACTTCCGCAGCTCTATCGACCAATACAAGAGCACACAGCATTACGAGCAGATAATCAGACATAAAAAAAATTCACATCAAGAACAAGCTAGCGTAGATTTATCGTTAGAAAATCTTATCAGTTATTGGCAAATAATCTAGTTACATGTTTGAGCGTTAGGCTACGGCATATTTTTAACTGTCATCTGAATTGTACATGGCCAAATTAGTTAATGGAGTTAGCCAAACAAACGTCACCTTTGGGGAACCATACTCCTGTGACTAACTGGTTAAGCTAACGTGCCGTGACGCTGGTAAACACTTGCTAAAGAGACGTTCAAGTTACCATTGCGTTAAAAGCCATCATGTTTAACATTACTGAAAATTTTATCAAGCGAAAGCATTATCCATTAAATGTGTTACACGATATCATTTACCATGTTATACTTCAGGCCTTCGTGTGTGTGTGTGTATATATACACACACATTCTTCTCCATTAATCAGCATAGCTTGCTCTGGGTAACCTAACATTAACGTCCGTATAATGTTACCAAACTCTAAGCAGTCTGTGAGCTAGCTAAAAAGGTATCAAACTAACATTTACGCCAAGCTAGCTCACGTTAGTCGCATGAGCCCGGTTCAAGAGTGTATAAATCGGCTAGCCTTTTTACACTGCGTCCTTGTAAGGCCTTAATGGCCATTCAGACCAGCTAACTAACCAATTAATAAGGCTTCGAGACCGTTACGCGTGGGCTATAAAGGCCATGAGTATTGCAGAAGGGTTTTGCGCGAATTTACCTGCTAACGTTAGCTAGCTTATCTCCATGGGCTCCGACTAGTCTATGGAATCGCAACATTATAGTTACAAATGCTAACTAACGCGTAAGGACGCATAGATATTACATAGAGCCGATGTCAATATTGTGTCAAACAACAGTTACCGTTACACTAAAATAGTTACAGCAAATCAACTATGTTGCACGTGAAACGCTGTTATATTAAATAAGTAGTATTAAGTTACTTTTTTGGTGCGACCAATATGACAGCTGCTTTTCAGCAAATAGACCTCCCCCACTAGGGCTAACAGCCAGCCTCCGTATTGATATCATTGCTAATGTGTTGTATATAGACATGTCGACGGTTGTTTACAAGGTATGTTATAGCCTAAATCTCACCGTGCTCCAAAGAAAGTAGTTCAAATGTTCATCGCTTCTTGTTTCTCATACCAAACTTGACGAAATGAAAGAGCCGCTAAGCCTCTAGCTCAGTTTGATTTTCAAAATAAAATGGCGACTGTTACCACCGCCGCGCGCTCACGGGGAAAAACCCATAGTCGAAACGAGTACGCGAGGTTATCCGCGCGACATAAACTACCTGAGCTATGCAGGCTTCCATATATCCATCCGCTTTTTCTTCTTGTATGTGTTTTTAAAACAATATAGGCCCTACCAAGCGCATTACTGCCCCCTGCAGGTTTCATCACTTTTTATATTTTTGTAAATGGGCAAATGTTTTCGTAATTAGTTAAAGATTTACCAGGAAATATTTTTACATCTGACACCTTTTATAATCTGTAGTATACATACTTGATTGTTTCAAGACTTCCACATTCACACAAACCAGTAGCTTGTTGTTCAAGGTTCAAGGATTTTATTATCAATTCACCATATGTGCAGGACATACAGAAAATCGAAATACTGTTTCTCTCTCACCTAGTATTGGGTGCTATAACATTTAGGAACTAAAATAGAATAAAGTGGAATAACTGGAAAGTTCTAAAAGCCCAAAAAGTAAAATATGAGTAAGATTAAATTTTTTAAATCAAGGTAAATGTTTGCTTTTTGTCTGACAAGATATTTCTTCTTACCAGGCAGTTTTATGGTGGAACATTTCACTTATTTTAAGCTTTTTTTGTCTTTAATTGTCTTAATAACATATTAATACTGAAATTTTAATACTACTTCTGAGAAACTTAATGCTTGAAAATAGAGTTACAAAAATTATAAAGTTGTTTGATTGATGCTGACAACTTCAAAACTGCTTTGTATTAGATAAATGTACTTGTGTTTAGTCTAATTGCACTAGTTCTATTATATCTATGGATTCTTGAGACTAGATATTTTTGTTTCTAAAAATCTTGGCAAGTGAAATTCCTGTTGGCAGATAATTTTGCTTATCCTAAGCAGTATTTTCCCCCATTTCATTCCTTTTTTGTGTTTTTGAGAGTTGCGTTATTGCACTGAGTGTGTCAGAATTTTTCAAGCACTGTCTTATAACAACAGACACACAGACAAAAGATTCATATTCAAGTACAGATCTTATCATGGGTTTACACACATCTTGCAAACTCTAGCTCTCAAGATGTTTTTTTCTAACAGATACTGTATTGCGTGATAGTTTAAGGATCTTCTTGAATGGGCATAAAATCCAGGCGGTTGCACATTCATGTGAGCTTGCCTGACATCCACCAGTGCCACTGTAAAAATGGAATTTTTTAACTGCACCTGGTTTTGTGGATATACTGTGTTTTACCTCCTCCTGCTACATCGTGACCAGAAGATGTGGAGAAAAATACAGGGCCTGAGGTTACTGCATGTCTGACTGTTTTACCTGACCAGGTCTAACCTACAAGTAGCTGGCCTGTGAACACTCCGGCGGCAGTGACTGATCAGCTCATCAATGCTGGATTCTCCTGGTGCACAGTACTTGTTTGTTTTGACTGCTTGAAGCCAGTGTGTCTGCCACATGTGATGTGTTACTGGTTAATGAGCAGATTATTGACCCATAATGTCATTGTCAGCGCTAAGATACCTGTTGGAATTAATTTCACTACTTTGGGATTGTATGTGGTCATGTGGGGGAAAACGCACCAACCACCAGTTAGATTTATTGACCTTGGAGCTACTTGAAAGGGAGTGGTGTTTCCAATACTCGGTGGGACTTAACGATAACGGTGCACGTACGCACAGAGCCATGCAGGCACAGAGAGAACATCCAAGTTCCACACAGAAAGGATGAGTCAGTCAAATAATAAATAATAAAAAAATAATCTGTGCATCTATTTAAACAACTTTTAACTACAACTTCTTTCATCTTCTGTTTATCTTTCAGAGTGAGGAGAGAGGAAGAGGTGGAGGGCAGGATGAATTGTGAGCCCTATCATGGACATGGTAAATATCAATTTATCTAATTGATATTTGATGTTATGAAGATGTCTGCTTGCAAGTTGAATGAGTTTTTAAATATTATTCCATTTTGTCTGAAATTTGCGTCTTTCAGAAAGAATGGAGGAGAGGACAAAGACAGAACTAATGTGTGAAAAGATGAGAAAACAAAAGGAAATAAGAAACAGGTAGAGAAGAGGAGAAGAGAGGAGGTGGATGCATAATGACATCTGAATATTTGGAAAGAGACATCTGGAACAGGTAAGCATCAATTTATTTCCTTTAATTTGATATTATATAGTAGTCATGAACAAATCATCAGTGCCTCTGTTTTTTTAAAATGTTTAACTTCACCTACTCTTTTCTTCTATTTGTCTTTCAGAGTGAGGAGAGAGGAAGAGGTGGAGGGCAGGATGAAGTGTGAGACCTTGAAAGTACAGGAGAGGAGAGCAGAGGAGACCAATTTCCTGAAGTCTCTACAGAGGCTCTCTCTCACTGCTACATTCACTTTCAATACTCTGGGCCCACAGAGCGTCTTTGCTCCTTCATTACCGCTAATAATCAATATTTCATGCTTCATAGCATTTTTTTGTATTGTGAATTTGGGTCCTGGGTTCCCTGTTTTTGTGACAACATATGCAACAAATGATAAATGTAGCTTAACTATCTAACAACCCTGTTTTTGGGATATGTAATTTGCTATCAATTTAGCTGAGACATTAGCAATGTTTCCATGGCTCTCATACTGTATGTGTATGTGTTAAAGACTTGATGTTGTCCATTTAAGGATAGAGATTATGTATGATCAAGCTCTGCATTACAGCATCATTACTTTATATATACTACATTATATATGTGATTATGCCACAACACTTCCAAACATAACTCTGCATCAGCTGGGTTCCATTCAAAACATGTTATGGTTCAAATAAAATAAATGACACACTTAAATGTTAAATGTGTTGAATTTCATTATCATGCATTGGTATTCATCAGGCTTTGTACTGTTTGATACCCTGATCAGCCACAACATTTTGACCACTGACAGGTGAAGAGAATAACACATTATATTTTTACAGTGGCACCTGTCAAGTGGTGAACAGTCAGTTCTTGAAGATAATGTTCTAGGAGCACAATAAATGATCAAGCAAAAGGATCTGAGTGCCAGTAAAAAATATCTCCTGAATTCAGTTGTTTAGCAAGCAGTGGTGCTACCAAAGGTGTTGCCTCTGGCTTCTCAAAACAATTACAGTAGACAGTAGGTTATGTGGCTCTGAATGGAGCTCAATGTATGAGAAAATTAAATCAACACAGTTAAAAACCACTGATGAAATTTGACAGGTAAGAGCATTTTACAGATAGGGAGGGCTGAATGACAGACACAGCTGAGTTACATTATGGAAAATGGATCCAGTGGTTTGGAGCTTTTCTATATACTAAGAGTATGCCTTTATTTCAGTCATTCTTTTTAATTAATTGAAAGATGTTCAGTGTTTTTGCTCAAGATTATTTTTGGCATTTCTGACTTTACTGGACAAAGGCAGGAATATCAGAAGACAGAGAGGGAGTTTGACATGCAGCAGGAAAGGCACCCAGCTGGAACTGAACCATGCATGCTGCAGTTATATATATGCCTTGCAGGCGCCCAATGGTAAGAAGTCAATCAAGCCATAATCAAAATCTTAATCAAACTGTAACTAAATAGGTTAAAGAAGCTACAATCAGAGACTGACATCTGATTAGCCTGATCTAACTCTGTAGTGATCTGTCAACAGATGTAACATATAGTCAGTGCTCCATCACTGGTCCAATCTCAAACATAGTGGTAGAGAGGAGCTCCAGTTTTATCACAAACAATATTCACTGTCATCCGTACTATTTTGGGGCGGTGGCAGAAATCACTCAAAACCTCAGCTGATAAAACTGCAACACTGCATGGCTACATACCTCTAGAAATGGGTTGAGAAAATAGCTGTTTTATTTTTTGGGTGGACTGGCTCTTCAGGGACAAATGATTGGGTGACATACACTGTAATGTACTGTATATAATAATGTGACTGGGAAAACTTGCAACATCACTGAAGGGTCAAAACATGAAAACATATTGTCACTGCTACCACATGACAGTAATTCAAATTAACATTGGATGCATTGACTGGTTGGATGCCACTGGCCATTAAATAAAGAAGTAGAAGTATATTGAAAGGTTAGAGGAACATTGGATGCAATTATCCATCTTGAATCTGAGATTAGGAAAGCTATATTTAATAAAGAAACTCTTCTTGCAGTCTATTTTGATGTTGAGACGCCATATGATATGGTGTGGAAGGAAGGAAGGTCTACTGATAAAACTGGAGGTAATGAGGTAGGAAGGAAAATGACTGATTGTAAGATCCTTAAAAGTGTGCAGAAATGAGAGCAAAAACACTGGCCATGGGTGGTTGATAACATCCTAAAAACTACATATTATGCAGCAGTACCAATATTTATAGATGGAGCTAAAGACCGCAAAACAGGAAAAACTAGTTTCTCATTTGTTATACCAGAACTAAGTGTAGCAATCAGTAAGAGAACTTCAAATAACCTGTGTATACAGCAGAACTGATGGCAATCTTTACAGCTATACATTGGGAAGAAGATGTTAAAATAAGACATGTAATAATATGTTCTAACGCCACTTCAGTATTCAAGAGTATTGGAAGAGGATCATCTTCTTCAGGGTGGCAACTGGTGGATCGCTGTGGCGACCCCTAATGGGAGCAGCCGAAAGTAGTCGAAGAAGAAGTAGTCAATGAACAAGAGGTAGTCCAGCAGGTGGCGGTAACAGACCTATGTAATAGACATGTAAAATAGTCCACCACCAGAAGAAGAACTTCTCTTTTCCCCTCCTTCCACAGAGCTAGGTGGTTTAGAGCTTCTGTCTATTATTAAAAGTGTAGATTTATTTGGGTGAAGTTGCAGCGCAGATAAAATGTCGTCTTGGATGAAATCATCTGCAGCTGCCAGGCGGCCACCAGTTAACCCAAACGGAAGGTAAGCCGCAGGGTTCTCTGTAGAAAATGGAGCATTTGCTGCTAATATACACAACATGCTACGTAGCATAGCCAAAAACCCTACAACAGAGAGAGCTCACAGCCAATACACATAATCTTTGAACCAGTTAATGTTAATAGATGTCGGTCATAGTTTATAAAGCACATAAAAACTCCTTGTGTTATGCAGTGCTCAACAACAGCTGCGTCTGTTTCGGAGAGCAGCGCCATACCCCACCACCAGAGAGGAGAGGACCGAAGAGATCAAGGATGCCTTGGACAGGTATCAGCCTTTACAGTCACATAAGCTAATTCAAAACCACTGCTTCGTCAAATTGTTTTGCAATGTTTGTGTGGTAGTTAATTGATATTTCGAAGCTTATAGTTACAGTTGGGAAGATTTATTTTGAGTTTCCTCCACACTTCGTTGTTGAGGCCCCCCTTTGTTCAGAAATATGTTTTATATATGGCTGACTGCGCTAAACTTTTAGATTAAACATTCAGCATAACCTGAGTTAAAAGAAGAACATTTTAGTTTCTAGACATCAAGCTCTACCAGGGCACAGTAGAATGAAATCTACCCCCACCGGATGTTTACTGCATAAATGAAATGTGGTATGCACGGTGCCATGTGAACTTCCCTCGCTTAGCCCACTATTACGCTGCTATACTGCTGCTACTACCACAGCTACAGGTAAAAGCAAAATGTAGAGATATTCATATTTTATATAAAATATTTTTTGTAACGGTGCACCAGCTACAATGTGCATGACGTGCATATGTGCGCACTGTGGTGTACGAACCTTTACGGCAGCGCCTCAGCTTGTATTTTGCTTTGGCATTCTGGATTAGAACAAATAAATTATTTCCCCATTATTATCAATCTAAATGAATCCCTTGCCAAATAAAGGACCTTGTTAAAACTCGAATGTGTGATTTTACTGGGACACAGCAGATCAATACTGGGGCATGGACCCCAGTAAAAGGGGTCTAATGACGTCTATGAGTTAAAGCAGAGGTGGGACCAAGTCATTGTTTTGCAAGTCATAAGTCAGTCTCAAGTTGTTGTCCCCAAGTCAAGTCCCAAGTCAAGACTGGCAAGTCCCAAGTCGAGTCCAAAGTCCTAAACTTTGAATTTCGAGTCCTTTTAACGACAGAGTAATAATATGACAGATCATGTATACATCTAAATTCTGCATTTATTTATCAAAAGACATTTGATGAAACAAACAAAACTTACAAAACTAGTGCTAATACTGTAAATCTATATTGCACTAGTAACCAATTCCATATAACATATTTGGAGGAAGATTGTTCCTGAACTTATTACTTCACAGAATAAACTAAAGGTGCAAAAGTATAACTGAAAATATTTGCACAAAAAGTGCTGGCATGTGTAGTTCAACCACTGAAAACCACAACAATGAAGGTGGCGCCATTTAATTTCTATAACACTATAATGAGTACCATAGTACCAAGTTTCTGTCCTGTCTTGTCCCCTGCTCATCTCATGTTGT